TGTCTTGTTAAAACATGTGGCAACGGTTACTCTTAGGTGCCATGGATTGATGTCAGGGTGGTCAGCTCTGGACTAAGCCACCCACCTCCAATTTGTACAACAGTATTGATACATAGGGCTACACTCATTACTGTTCAAGTGTTCTATGTTAAAAGTTGTGTTTAATTTCTAAAGATTAAAAAAAGCAAAAAAATTGGTGCTAAACCTTCACCCCTGAGCACGCTCAGTGAGACTGGTCATGCAAGCATTTACAGTGCCATGCTCCTCAAGCCGATTTTTTTCTTGTAGAAATGTTGCCCTATTTGTCTTCTCCAATGTATGTTATTTTATTTTATTTTATTTTATTGAGGGGGGTAGGAAACCTGCCATTTAAGAAAATGAATAGAAAATTTTAAAACCCAAGAAATGGGGAAAAAAAAAAAATCAGTGCACAAGAATCGGGCTGGTGAGGCCCAGCACCACACTGAAGTGGGCTCAGTGGTTTTGGAGTGAAGAAGCCTTACTCCCTGCACATTCCCTCATGCTCCCACACAAGTCCAGCAATGGAAACGCTTGGGTTCCTCTTGCTTTGTCAAGGGGACTCAGGAGTCGACCAAGGGAAACCATTTGGCCCCGTGAGGAATGGACACTGTCAGTGTCCGTCCTGAACGGGGCCTAGTCAGGAAGCGGTCTAGAAGTGTACGGTTGTGGTCGCCTCATGAAAGTGTGTAGCAGGTGGCTCTCAGGAAAAATACCAAGTCTGGATCATCCATGTGGCAGCTTTGCATAGGGAGAAGACAGCTCCGAACTGGAACTGAACTGCCTTCTGCATGCTTGACCAAAGCAGTGATGAGGGTGGCCAGTACCTGCAGTGTGCATGGTAGGTTTAAAGAAAAGGGAATGTGTTCTGCTGTTTCCTTTGTCCTTGGGCTGCTCAAGCTGGACAGTAGGTAACCACTGTTTTCAAGGACCAGCCCAACTTCTCTGGCTTGGTTCGGAGTTCGTTTCATCCCTAGCTGTGAGTGCCTTTTGGTCTGGAAAGTTGGCTTGTCTCATAATACCCACAGCTAGGACATTCTCTCTGTAATTATGAATTGTCCTTGTTTTCCATTAAAAGAGAATGTCTCTGATCACTAGAGTTGGTCGGTGTTGGATTATTTCCACTGTGAGATTCTTAAAACTTTTTCGCTTCATAATAAAACAACTCATGTTAGAGACCCTTTCAACATGAAAGGTTTGTAGTTGAGACATTACATATATTTTATTGTTTATAATAAAAATCATCTATACAAAAGTCCTGGGTGTTAATATTTTGCACAAGATCTGTTTTCCATGATGTGTTGACATCTACAATTTCACTAACTGTTGATGTTCTTTTCTATTGAGATTCTGGAGCCTAGGGAGCTGTGTTCTTTTTGTTCATTTCGTTCTTATTTCCCTGAAGCAAGAGACTATATGGCCTTCAGTGCAAAGACTTCAGACCAATTCTTTGTATTACACTTGGTTGCCTCTTGGCTATATAACTTCTGAGTGCAAATCATTGAACTCTTTAACGAAGTATTGTAGAGAATAAATCATAATGGATATATGTTTTGTCCTGCCTCTTTTTTAAACATGTGACTTGATTTATATGGAATGGTGGTACGTTGTCTTATTTTTGAAGACAGGCAACAAGATAGTATTCATTCAGCTAGGATGTCTTCTGTGCTGCTCCTGACCCCACCGTTGTGTATGTTTTTGTGGTTGGTGGCAATGCCACTGGTGTTTTAGAGCCAAGTTCCGTGAGCAAGCAATCATTAGCTCTTAAGATTTGGGTTTCTCCAGACAGGTTCGTTGTGAGATTTTTCACATGAGACTGACCTTACCAAAAAAGCCAAAATCTCTTGAAGAGGAAGAACCACTAAAATTTAATATAATTTGGTGATGTTAATTCCAGCAAAGACCCTGGGACATCCTGGTGCAGTCTGACCTACCCAGTTTTTGTTTTTGGATGACCCAGAAAGATGAGATGTGTTTGGAGAAAAGGACATCTTCAGTTTAGACTTTTTTTTTTTTTTAAACTTGGCAAAAATAATTTAGTATTCCATTTGGGCAGCACCCTGGGGCCTGCTTGTCCCTCCCTGGCTCCAGCCCCCTAACCAACCCACCCAAAGATCAGCAGTTGACACTATTTGCAGGGAGGTAGAATTTTTTTTTTTTTTTTTTTAAGGTTCTCAATTCTGAGGCCCTTAGCAAAGCTCAAAAACACATGGCTACAGATAAAAACATGCTGTCGGGGTTAGGTAATTTTGAAAATTGACTACCAGCAGCTGGCTAGATGTTTACAGGCTTTGTTAATAACTGGTGTGTCTGAAGAGGAATTCGTGTCTTCAATATAAATTAATGTTCTAGAGATTACATTCCATGTTACCTGTAACTAAACAGCATGGAATTCCCTATGACTGATTTTGGGGGAGAGGGTGATTGGTGATAAAGCAAAATTTGTGATTTTAGCCATCACTGTTGACTTCTGGAGTGTGAAATAAACCATCTGATCGGGTCAGTGGTGCTAATTGTGGGAGTGGAGGTGGGGGAGGTGCTCTACAGCTGCTTCTAGATCAATCTAGGTCTGTAACCTTGGCTTGAATAATCTGACTGAACTACTAAGTGGGCTGGTTGAAGGGCTTGACTCAACCAGTACCGTACAAGAATCAGAGTAGCAGCCTGAGGAATGTAATGCAAGTCCTGTCCCTTCTGTGTCTGTTTTCCTCATTAAAATCAAGCTCAGACGAGAATTCGAGGGTCTCTCTTCCTGCCGCTTATGCATTATTTCTACTCACACAGGTTCTGTATGCCCTGAAAAATTGGGGTGGGGGGGGAACTCCAATTTCAAAGCTATTGGAAAACAGAAAAGAGAGGTCTCCAGTTCACCATCAGTCCCTCAAGTTCCTGCTGCCAATCAGACCCCCTTCCCCCACTATGGCTATTCTGTGATCACATCCTGGCTCCCAACCAAAGAAATAACCCAGGGCAGATGACAGCTGGAATCTCTGGCTGGCAGTCCCACAGGCCTAAGCTCAAATCTTGGTCCTGCCATTTATAAGGCATTTCCCACTTTGTGACAGGACTGTGAATCTCTAAGGTAACCTGACCTTAGAGAAGTCATAGGTAAAAAGAGTAAACATAGTAAATGTTTTGCCCAGACCCCAACACATGGTGCAGTTGCTGGGCGGCTGTGGTTATCTGGCCTGTCACTCAGTGCTGGGTGTACAGGGGAACACCCGCAAGCATCAAACCCGCCGGAACCTTCAGCCTTTCCGAGCACGTGAAAGGGGGCGTGGCCAGCCCTTGCGGTCTGGGCACGTTCCTTGGAGAAGCAGGACTGAAGCAAAGAGAGCATTCTCCGGAGGAGGGAACTTCTCAGGTGGAGGGAGACCACAGTGCGGGCACAGCAAGACGCCGTGGAGGAGCCCTCGCAGGAGGTCAGGCTGCACAGGCCAGACAGGATTCCCAGGACAGCCTTCTAAAGGATTTCTTTTTTTTTAGTTTTAAAATTTTACTTTTTAATTTTTTAAAGCTTTTTTTTTTTTTTTTTTTTTTTGAGACAGAGTCTCACTCTGTCGCCCAGGCTGGAATGCAGTGGCGCAATCTCGGTTCACTAAAACCTCCGCCTCAGCCTCCCGAGTAGCTGGGATTACAGGCGCCCGCCACCACGCCCCAGATTTTTTTTTTTTTTTTTTTGTAGAGAGAGATTTCACCATGTTGGCCAGGCTGGTTTCAAACTCCTGACCTAAGGTGATCCGCCCGCCTCAGCTTCCCAAAGTACTGGGATTACAGGCGTGAGCCACCGCGCCTGGACTTTGCCTGTTTTTTTTGGCCGGTCTCTCTCTCTTGCCCAGGCTGGAGTGCAGTGAGGCTATCATAGTTCACTGCATCCCTCAAGCGATACACCCGCCTAGGTCTCTCCAGTAGCTGGGACTACAGGCGCGCACCACAACGCCAGGCTAATTTTTGTATTTTTTAGAGAGGAGGTCTCACTATGTTGTCCAGGCTGGTCTTGAACTCTGGAGCTCAAGCGATCCTCCAGCCTCGGCCTCCCAAAGTGCTGGGATTTCAGGCGTGAACCACTGTGCCCGGCCCAATTCATTTGTTGTTAAATCAACAGAGTTTACAATATGACCTTCTAAACATTGTTGACTAATGAGCTAAGATATCGTTGACTAATAAGCTACGATTATTTCCTTTATTGTACAACCTTTCGTTTTCTCCAGTGTAGAAAACAGCATCATTTTTCATTTGCATTTCTTTTTTCTTTTTTAATATATTTTTTTGAGATGGATTCTCACTCTGTCGTCCAGGCTGGAGTGCAGTGGCGCGATCTCAGCTCCCTGCAACCTCCGCCTCCCGGGTTCAAGCGAATCTTCTGCCTCATCCTTCCGAGTAGCTGGGATCACAAGCGCCCACCACCATGCCCGGCTAATTTTTGTATTTTTAGTAGAGATAGGGTTTCACCATTTTGGTCAGACTGGTTTCGAACTCCTGACCTCAGGTGATCCCGTCGCCTCGGCCTCCCAAAGTGCTGGGATTACAGGCGTGAGTCACTGTGCCCGGCCGTCATTTGCTTAATTTTCTATGCATCACCCAAATGTTCCAACAGACGTGTGGTAAAAGCCTCTGAATATCATTGTCCGCGTGCTCAGAAGTATTAGATAATCCATCACAAATGAATAAAATTTTAGAAGTGTAAGTCAGTGAAAGAAATTCGACCCGGCACGTTCGGAGTCGGCTGCCCTGCCCTCCATCAGCAGGCGTTCCTGCAGCTCATCTGACCCTCTCCGCCCAGAAAGGCCTAGGGACCTACCCCAGGACGTCTGCGCGGCGAGGCGCGAGGGAGGAGAGGGAGTGCAGGGCGGCCCTGGGCGGCGGGGAGCCTCCGGGACAACACCAGCAGGTCCCCTCGCTGCGCCCCGCCAGCCTCACACTCCCGGCCCCGCCCACCCCTCGGGGCCCCTCCCAAGACCACGCCCCTTCCGTGGCCGTTGCTCCGCGCTTCCGCTTCCGGCGGCGCTGGTGGTGGCGCGCGACTCAGCGATGGCAGCAGGTGGCGGCGATCCGCGGGCTGGCGACGTAGAGGAGGACGCCTCACAGCTCATCTTTCCTAAAGGTTGGGCTCGGGGCCGCCAGACTGCCCCGCGGCACTTCGCGTGGTCGCCGCAGGCCTGGCGTTATCCGCGCTTCGCCCAAGGCCTGGCCTCGGCGGCGGCTTGGGCAGACCCCCGCGCGGCGTAGGGCTGGGGAGGGAACGTGGACCTGGGAGTGGCCGCCTGGGCAACTGGGTTATTTTATGTGATAACAAACTGCGAAGTTCCGGGCGCTGGTGTCAAAGGTAAACAAAGCCGGAAACCCAGGTGGTGAGGACAGATTTTTAAACAGGGATAGAACGTTGCACTAGGGAGAAGAGTCCAGCGTGAACCGAACTCAACTTCGATTAGTACCGAACCTCTGGGCGTTTTAAAGGAGAGTTAGGAAATAAGGATGTGGTGAGCGGGGGCTCAGGGGAGTCGGGGAAGTGAGAAATGTAAAAAAGAGGGAAGAGGAGGGTCCGTGTGAACCCACCTTGGTTTGTTGACTGCAGCATCTATCGAAGTTAGGCCCCTACCCTCCCACCGAGGCGGAGAGACAGAGGCCTATTTTCAGCCGTTGGCTGGAACAAACAAATTATTTTGGCAGCCTCGAGTTTTCTCAGGCACGCAGTGGTTGGGGAGGGTATTCCTAGGGATGAGGACCTCAAGACCTCAAGTGATCCATCCACCTTGGCCTCACAGAGCTGGCATTACAGGCGTGAGCCACCTCGCCCTGCATTTTTTTTTTTTTTTTTTTTTTTTTTTTAAGGCAAGATCTCATTCTGCTACCCAGGTTGGAGTGCAGTGGTGTGATCACAGCTCACTGCAGCCTCAACCTTCCCAGGCTCAGGTAATCCTCCCACCTCACTTCAGCCCCTGGAGTACCTGGAACTACAAGTGCACACCACCACACCTGGCTAATTTTTGTATTTTTTTTGTGGAGACAAGATTTCACCATGTGGCCCAGGCTGGTCTTGAATTCCTGGGCTCAAGTGGTCTACCTGCCTTAGCTGCCTGAAGTGTTAGAAAGTACAGGTGTGAGCCACTGCACCGGGCCTATTAATGGTCGTGATGACGGAACCTTACTAAAATTTCCAGATGACATACTGGCCAAGGAATTGTTTTCCTTTTTTAGCAACAGGGATTAATTATGGCCATTGTTCTTTTTTTTTTTTTTTTTTTTTTTTTTTTTTTTTGAGACGGAGTCTCGCTGTGTCTCCCAGGCTGGAGTGCAGTGGCGCGATCTCGGCTCACTGCAAGCTCCGCCCCCTGGGTTCACGCCATTCTCCCGACTCAGCCTCCCAAGTAGCTGGGACTACAGGCGCCCGCTACCACGCCCGGCTAATTTTTTTGTATTTTTAGTAGAGACGGGGTTTCACCGTGTTAGCCAGGATAGTCTCCATCTCCTGACCTCGTGATCCACCCGCCTCGGCCTCCCAAAGTGCTGGGATTACAGGCTTGAGCCACCGCGCCCGGCCCATGGCCATTGTTCTTAAAATATTTGCACAAGAGAGAATAACATGCAGATCCCCTGATCTATTTCCTTTTGTTTCCAAATAAATTTTGTGTGTGTGTGTGTATGCTTTCACTTGAAAATGTTTATTGGAATTAGCCATGGGGAGAAGTCTTGGATTCCTCCTCTCCGTAGTTATACAAAAGTGTCTGAACTGCCTCCCCCATCCCCATTTTGTTGATGCCGAATCCTGGGAATGCCTCCCAAAAGCTCTGTGGTAGGTCTCAGACACCCCTTTCCTAGGCCCTCTGAGTTACAGTTTGGCTGCCTTGACCTTCCTTGGTTGAAGGGAGTGAGGGTAATGTATTAGTAGTGCTTGAATATTGTTCTTAATGAGAAATAGGGACAGTTGACTAGTTTCCTGGTGGCCTAAAAGTTCCATTCCTTTCCATTTAACAAGTAATTTTGGTTTAGTGCAGAAAGGGAGGCATCTGTTTTGTTTTGTTTTGTTTTTTTGAGACAGAGTGTTTCACTCTTGTTGCCTAGGCTGGAGTGCAGTGGCACAATCTCGGCTCACCGCAACCTCCACCTCCTGGGTTCAAGCGATTCTCCTGCCTCAGCCTGAGTAGCTGGGATTACAGGCATGTGCCACCATGCCCGACTAATTTTTGTATTAGTAGAGATGGGGTTTCACCATGTTAGGCTGGTCTCGAACTCCTGACTTTAGGTGATTCACCTGACTTGGCCTCCCAAAGTGCTGGGATTACAGGCATGAGCCACGGCGCCCAGCCTGGGATGCATCTCTTAACATTGATTTTTCCAGGACCTGTAAAAGCATCAAAGTTCCAACACACCGATTTGTAACTGATTAGCTACTTCTTCCCTTTTTTGTTTTGGCCTGATGTCATTTGTTACTGTCGCTTCAGAGTTTGGAGGTCCTGCAGTCCTGATATATAATGCCTTTTCCTCTACTCATTGCTGTGAGGCAGTAGTTTCTTCTGTACCTACAGTGCCTCAGTGTTAAAGATTAAAAGAAGTAAAGTTCCTGGTATACAAATAGGCACTCACTGTAGTACATCCCCTGTTATAGGCTGGAAGACAGAAAAAGGTGTTCTGAGGTTTTTGTTTAAACTCTCCTGCCCTCAGGTAGAAAATAGCTTTTGGTTACCTATTTTTTTATTTAGATTTTAATTTTATTTCAATAGTGCTCCAGCTGTATTGGTAGCCTATTATATTCAGTAGCAATGAGTACCTTTCAAATAAAAATAGACTTTCCTCCTGACCTACCACTTAAACTGTGTTGTGAAAGGAGAATGAGGCTCTTGTCAGTTACCCGGCTTGAGAATTGGGAAGGCGTTACTCAGAGGGAGGTGTTAGTGATTTCCCCGATAATAAACAGACCTATAGCACGTGTAAATGTGAAATTGCAAGTCATTCTGGCTTTTCCTCACTGTTGCTTCCTTTTCAGTGAGGGATTATAAACATGAATTCATGTTTATGAATGGTTCCTGCTCTAGGGGAATTCACTGTTAAGAGAAGGGCAGATAAAAACGATCTCTAATACTTTGAGATAAACATCAGGAACATAAGATCCTGCAGGAACATAAGGGAGAGAGTGATTTTCCCAAGGGGTAACAGCATTTTTTAACAGAACTATTCTAGAAGTGTAGAAGGTAGCCATATATTATGAAAAGGGGCCATGGGTTTCTTTTTCTCTCAAACCTAATTCTTAAAAATAGCTTATAACATTTGTGTGGGTACAAAAATAGATTTGGGGGTACATTATTAATGTTTATTTCTAGACATTTGGCTCTTTTTAACACGTAACAATTCTTAAAATTGAGAGTATAATACTAGCATTATCGAAGTAGGAAGATGATGAGCTGATGCAGGCTAGAGGGCAGTAATTGTCAGTGTACTCTTGAAATCAGTAACTAGTCTATATGTGTCACTACTTAGTAGCATGTCTAGGTCAGGTTTTTGGTGTCAGAATCTAGTTCAGACAAGCTAAATGTTAGTGTCTCGTGAACTCCACTTTGCCTTGTGATATGTAACTGTGGGTGAATGTAAAGATGTGAGTAGCTGCAGCCATAAAAAAGAACGAGATCCCAGCCTTGGCAGCATGGCGAAACCCCCGTCTCTACCAAAATCATACAGGGCGTGGTGGTGCGTGCCTGCAGTCCAGCTACCTGGCAGGCTGGGGTGGGGGTGGGGGGTCACCTGAGCTCAGGGAGGTCAAGGCTAGTGTGAACTGTATTCATGCCACTACACTCCAGCCTGGGTGACAGATTGAGACCCTGTTTCAAAAAAAAAAATAAAAGAACGAAATCATGTCTTTTGTAGCAACATGGATGGAGCTGGAGGCATTCACTTAAGCAATTAACACAGGAACAAAAAACCAAGTACCTCACATTCTTATAAGTGGGAGTTAAACCTTGAATACATATGGACAGAAGGGAACAACAGACACTGAGGCCTAGTTGAGGGGGTGGATGGTGCGGATTGAAAAACTACCTGTCAGTACTATGCTTATCACTTGGATGACAAAATGGTCTGTTCACCAAACCCTCACAACACCCATTTCCCCTGTATTACAGACCTGCACATGTACCCTGAACCTAAAATAACAGTTCGAAAAAAAGTAGATGTGGGGTAGGAAACCCCTGCATCTCTGCAGGGAGATCATTGTGCATTCAGATGCACAATGAACATTTAGAAGCAAACTTTTGAAGGAGTATTTTCAGCTGCCATTTATGCTTCTCACAAATAGAGTTTGAAACAGCTGAGACACTTCTAAATTCAGAAGTTCATATGCTTCTGGAACATCGAAAGCAACAGAATGAGAGTGCAGAGGATGAACAGGAACTCTCAGAAGTCTTCATGAAAACATTAAACTACACAGCCCGTTTCAGTCGTTTCAAAAACAGAGAGACCATTGCCAGTGTTCGTAGGTGAGTGCTAAAAGAAAGTTTTTATTAATCCAAACCGTTGGACAACTGCATGTGGACTGCTGTCCCCTCCCCCTTTCCCAGGTGTCACCTGTGAATTTAAGTAAAATAATGTTGGGCTGGGCATGGCGGCTCACACCTATGCTCCTAGCACTTTGGGACATTGAGGCAGCAGATCACTTGAGGCCAGATGTTCAAGACCAGCCTGGTCAACATAGCAAAAACCCGTCTCTACTAAAAATGCAAAAATTAGCTGGGTGTGATGGTATACACCATGAATCCCAGCTACTCAGGAGGCTGAGGTGGGAGAATCGCTTGCACCTGCAGGCCAAGGTTGCAGTGAGCCGAGATTGCGCCACTGAACTCCAGCCTGGGTAACTTGGAAGACCAAAATTTCAGCCAAGTGTGGTGGCTTACACCTATAATCCACACTTTGCGGGGCTGAGGTGGACCAGTCTCTTGAGGCCAGAAGTTCAAGACCAGCATGGGCAACATGGTGAAACTCCTGTCCCTACAAAAAAAATACAAAAATTAGCCAGGTGTAGTGGCAGGTACCTGTGGTCCTAGTTACTTGGGAGGCTGAAGTGGGAGGATCATGTGAGCCCGGGAGGTTAGGCTTTAGTGAACTGTGATTGTACCACTTTACTCCAGTCTGGGAACAGATTCAAATATGACTCTGTCGTATTTTATATAAGTCCAGTATGTGTGATCCAAATGGTACTGTTAGTGGGGAAGTAAGGTTTTTTCGTTATTTTTTTGTAGCGATGGGGAGACTTACTGTGTTGCCTAGGCTGGTCTCAAACTCCTGGCCTCAATTGATCTCCCACCTTAGCCCCCCAAAATGCTGGGATTGGCCGGGTGCGGTGACTCACGCCTGTAATTCCAGCACTTTGGGAGACCGAGATGGGCAGATCACTTGAGGTCAGGAATTCGAGACCAGCCTGACCAAAATGGTGAAATCTCGTCTGTACTAAAAATACAAAAATTAGCTGGGCGTGGTAGCGCACACCTGTAGTCCCAGCTACTTGGGAGCCTGAGAAAGGATAATTGCTTGAACCTGGGAGGTGGAGGTAGCAGTGAGCCAAGATCGTGCCACTGCACTCCAGCCTGGGTGGCAGAGTGAGACTCCATCTTAAAAAAAAAAAAGACTCGATCTCAAAAAAAAAAAAAAAGCGCTTGAATTAGAAGTAAGCCACCATGTCCAGCCTATATATATATATGTGTATATATATAATTTTTTTTGATAACAGTATTTGTACATATGTGTGAGGTACACGTGATATTTTGTTACTTAGAATGTGTAATGAGTATGTTAGGGTGTTTAGGGTGTTGATCATTTCTATGTATTAGGAACAGTTCAAGTCTTCTCCCCTAGCTATTTTTATTTTCTGTATTTATTCATTTATTTTAGAGACAGGGTCTCACTATGTTGCCCAGGCTGAGACGTCTTGAACTTCTGGACTCGAGTGATCCTCCTGCCTTGGCCTCCTCCCAAAGTGCTAGGGTTACAGGCATGAGCTGCTAAGCCCGACCTCCTCTACCTTTTTTTTGTTTTGTTTCATTTTGTTTTGAGACAGTCTCACTTCATCACTCAGATTAGAGTGGTGCAATCTTGGCTCACTTCTACCTCTGCCTCCCAGGTTAAAGCAGTTCTCATGCCTCAGCCTCCCATGTAGCTGAGACTACAGACATATACCACCACACCCGGCTGATTTTTTTTTTTTTTTTGAGATGGAGTCTAGTTCTGTCACCCAGGCTAGGGTGCAGTGGCGTGATCTTGGCTCACTGCGACCTCTGCCTCCCGGGTTCAAGTGATCTTGCCTCAGCCTCCTGAGTAAGCTGGGTTTACCGGCGCCCACCACTGCACCCAGCTAATTTTTGTATTTTTAGTAGAGATGAGGTTTCACTGTGTTGGCCAGGCCAGGCTGGTGATCTGCCCGCCTCGGCCTCCCAAAGTGCTGGGATTACAGGCATGAGCCACTGAGCCTGGCCAATTTTTGTATTTTTAGTAGAGACGGGGTTTTGCCGTGGTGCTCAGGCTGGTCTAGAACTCCTCACGTCAAGTGATAGCCCACCTTGGCCTCTCAGAGTGCTAGAATTACAGATGCGAGCCATGACACCTGGCCGTCTAGCTATATTTAAATACTGGCTACATTTGATCCCTTTTTTCCTGTTGATTATTCTTTTGATTTTTGTTGTTTCTTTGTTTTTGATTTTTTTGTTTTGATTTTTTTTTTTTTCCTTTTGATTAGCTTGCTACTCCAGAAAAAGCTTCACAAGTTTGAGTTGGCCTGTTTGGCCAACCTTTGCCCAGAGACTGCTGAGGAGTCCAAGGCTCTAATCCCAAGGTTAGTACCAGTTGTGATAAGTTCTCTGTATACTGGATAAATTCCTACAAATAGAATTGGTGTGTCTAAAATGTGTATGCATTATATATTTGGATACATGATTGCCAATATTAAATGAAAGTGCCTTTTTTGTTCAATATTTCAAAGCACGTTTCCTGCTTATTAACAGTGTGTGAGAATGATGGTTTTATACCACACCAAGTGAGAGCAAAAATCTGAAACAGCTGGAACTTCCGTACGCTGATGGTAGGGGTGTGAGTGTTAATTACAACAGTCATTTTGGAGAGCAATTTGGCTGTGTCTGGTAAAGATGAATATACTCCATGTTCCAAATATCCATTCCTGATACATATCTCAAAGGTAACTCACACAAGTTTACAAGGAGACGTATATTCTAGCGTTCATTGCTGCACTGTTTTGTTTCTGCTTTTGTTTTTAGTAGACATGGGGTTTCACCATGTTGGCCAGGCTGGTCTCAAACTTCTGGCCTCAAGTGATCTGCCCACTTTGGCCTCCCAAGGTGCTGGGATTACAGGCATGAGCCTCAGTGCCCGGCCTCATGCTGCACTGCTAATGATAGCAGAAATTTGATCATCTCTTAGTCAATAAGAAAGTGGATAAATGAATCGTTGTATAGTCACACAATGTTTATTGTACGGCAGTGAAAACAGTCAGTGAACTAGAACCACGTGGAATATCAACATGTCAGAATGAATTCTGAGGAAAAATGGCAGAAGGATAAACACAGTGTGGTGCCATTTCTTATAAAGTCTGAAACTGTGCTGCATATTACTTACGTATCCATAAATGTGTAGTAAGTATAAAATATGTATGGCAAAACAAATTTTTTAAAAAAGGTATGGCAATGATAAATACTAAATTGAGGATGGTGGTTATTTCTGGGGAAGGAGGGAAGGTATTGGTCTAGGAAAGTAACACAGCCATCCACTTTCCTGCTTATTAAAGAACTCTGGGCCGGGTGCAGTGGCTCATGCCTGTAATCCCAGCACTTTGAGAGGCCAAGGCAGGTGGATCCCAAGGTTAGGAGGTCGAGACCATCCTGGCCAACATCATGTGACTCCATCTCTACTAAAATACAAAATTAGCTGGGCATGGCGGTATGTGCCTGTCGTCCCTGCTACTTGGGAGGCTGAGGTAGGGGAATCACTTGAACCCAGGAGGTGGAGGTTGCAGTGAGCCAAGATTGCGCCACTGCACTCTAACTTGGCAACAGAGCGACACTCCATCTCAAAAAAAAAGAACTCTGGCCAGGTGTGGTGACTCACTCCTGTCATCCCAGCACTTTGGGAGGTTGATACCATTAGAAAACATGAAGACAGTAAGTGAAAAATGCAGGGCTGGGTGTGGTGGCTCATGCCTGTAATCCTAGCCGTTTGGGAGGCTGAGGCAGGAGGATCACCTGAAGTCAGGAGTTGAAGACCAGCCTGGCCAATGGTGAAACCCCGTCTCTACTAAAAATATAAAAATTAGCTGGGTGAGGACTGGGCGTGGTGGCTTACGCCTGTAATCCCACCACTTTGGGAGGCCTAGGCAGGTGGATCATGAGGTCAGGAGATCGAGACCATCCTGGCTAACACAGTGAAACCCCATCTCTACTAAAAATACAAAAAATTAGCTGGGCATGGTGTCGGGCGCCTGTAGTCCCAACTACTTGGGAGGCTGAGGCAGGAGAATGGTGGGAACCCAGAAGGCGGAGCTTGCAGTGAGCCAAGATTGCGCCACTGCACTCCAGCCTGGGTGACAGAGCAAGACTCCGTCTCAAAAAAAATTAGCTGGGTGTGGTGTCAGGCGCCTGTAATCCCAGGTACTTGGTAGGCTGAGGCAGGAGAATCACTTGAACCCGGGAGGCGGAGGTTTCAGTGAGCCAAGATCATGCCACTTCACTCTAGCCTAGGGGACAAGAGCGAAACTCCGTCTCAAAGGAAAAAAAACCTGTAAGTCAAGTGGGGCTAACTGTACAGGTATATTTTTTATACTTTTTATCTTTTATGCGTTTGAAATATTTTGTAATGTTTTATCAGGAAAAGTGGAAAAGAAATACAGATGAAAGGTGAAGGTGTTAGAGATGTGGGCAGTAGATTAGCACGCCTCAAAGAAGAGCGTGGGGAAATTGCCAGTTGCCAAATCACTCGTTTCTTTTCGTTTTCTTGTAGCTTGGAGGGACGGTTTGAAGATGAGGAGCTGCAGCAGATTCTTGATGATATCCAGACAAAGCGCAGCTTTCAGTATTAATCTCCAAACATCGCTGCTGCTCGGAGAAACCGCGTCCGCAGGCGTAACACCACCTTCCCAGGCTCTGGCTGACTTGCATGGAAATGCTGTTGCAGAGGACAGTTGAGAATTCCTTTGGAGAAAACAGCCCGGCTCGGCGTGGGGTTAGGTTGCTGTTTCAAATAACTCATAGGCCCAGGACATGGAATCCTGGAGCAGCCTTGTGCAGTGGCTGCCAGTGGCTTCCTGAACGTGCCTCTGGGAAGTGTGAGATGGGGCCACACTACTGACTACCTCATTCATGGTTTTTGGCCTCCACATCATCTTTTTTCTTAATATTTCATGTTTTAATTTCAGTGCGTTTATACTTTTTGAAACTAGACCAGAATATAGTAGACTTTATAGAGAAAGACCAGTTTCACCTAGATGCTAAAGGAAGAATTAAACAACTGTTATTGTTTGAAATCCTTTTCTTTTTCTTTTCTTTTCTTTTAAATGGAGATAGGGTCTTAACTCTTACCCAGGCTGGAGGAGTGTAGTCATACAGTCATGGCTCACTGAAGCCTGGACCCCCCTGCCTCAGCTTCCCAAATAACTGGGGCCAAAGGTGTGCACCACCACTCTCAGCTAGTTTCTAAAATTCTTTATAGAGATGGGGTTTTACTGTGCTGCCTAGACTGGTCTTAAACTCCTGGGCTCAAGTGATCTCCCTGCCGTGGCCTCCCAAACTGATGAGATTAGAGGCATGAGCCACCACATCTGGCCTGAAATTCTGAAGGGATGAGAGTGTCAACAGAGCACGTTGGCATCATTGTGGCTAACCTGGGAGGCGGAAGAAGCATGCCATGGGCAGTGTTGACGAGTATTGTGGAGCTCAGAGTCCCTTGAGGTAGATGGCTACTTTGCCTTTCTTCTTGAACTGTCTTGCAGAATGTGGATTTGGGGTGAGTGGTCTTGAAGGACTCATTTAGTCACCCTCAAATTAAGATTTTTACTTCATCTTTCTTGGTAAGAAACAATGGTCATGCCAAAGAGGTTTGCAACTAGGTGTGCACTGTTCACTGCAGCCTATTTGTTGCATGAACTGTGGTCGTTGTGTGCCCAATGACAAGGCTATTAAGAAGTTCATCATTTGAAACATAGAGGCCGCAGCAGTCAGCGATGGTTCTGAAGTGAGCATCCTGGAAGCCTGCGTACTTCCCAGGCTGGATGTGAAGCTACATTACTGTGTGAGTTGTGCCACTCGCAGCACGGTAGTCAGGAATCGAGCTTATGAAGCCCACAAGGACCGAACACCTCCATGCCAGTGTAGACCTCCAGGTGCTGCCCCGTGCCCCCACCAAAGCCCATATAAGGAGCGGAGTTGTTAAGGACTGAAGAAAAACTATTCTCTGGAGAAAAATAAAATTGCAATTAAAAATTTTTTTTTTAATTTCATAGGCCAGGCGTGAAGTTCTGAACACTTTGAAGTCTGCAATTATGAGTGATCCAGTCTAAGCCTCTGGCTTGCTACTTAGCAATAGGTGCTTTATGATGGGCTGGTTCAGAAGGAGGGAGTCAGCCACTCTTGAGCCACTGCAGTGAAGTCACTTGATCTCAGTCTGGGGGAAAACACTTTAATAGGTAAACATTCTAGCTTTGATTTTTCTGAGGGGAATACACGTGTTTTCAATTTTGGGGTTTTTCTTTGGGGCACTTGCTTGACTCTGTATGAACTTGTGATCCAAAGAAAAAGGAGAAAGAACAATGTTGGCTTTTAAAGTCAGGATGGTTTTATGTTTGCTATGAAATAAGGCAAAAATAAAAAATTCTTATTTTTATTTTTATTTATTTATTTTTTTGAGATAGAGTCTGGCTCTGTCGCCCAGGATGGAGTGCAGTGGTACAATCTTGGCTCACTGCAACCTCTGCCTCCCAGGTTGAAGTGATTCTCCTGCCTCAGCCTCCCGAGTAGCTGGGACTACAGGCACCTGCCACCATGCCCGGCTAATTTTTTGTGTTTTTAGTAGAGACAGGGTTTCACCATGTTCGCCAGGCTAGTCTTGAACTCCTGACAAGTGATCCTCCCGCCTCAGCCTCCCAAAGTGCTGGGATTACAGGCGTGAACCACCACACCTGGCCAATCTTTTTATCCTTGAACAACTTCCCTTCTTTGAACCTCATTGGTGTTCTCAATTATGAAATATGGATAATAATAGTATTTGCCCCATGGATATTTTGAGAAGGTTGAAAAACAAGAGCCTAGAAATGTCTGACATATAGTATGTTCCAGTAAATGTTCACTATTAGCTTCTCAGGCAGGTGAGCTAGTATAGATAGATGATTAAGTCAGCTTGCTTCATAGAAATTAGTGCAAGAATTTGGTGGCCTACCAACTGACAGTATCAAACTTAGAAAATAAATGAAATTGGGCCGGGTGTGGTGGCTCACCCCTGTAATCCCAGCACTTTCAGAGGCTGAGGCAGGCGGATCACCTGAGGTTGAGAGTTTGAGACCAGCCTGACCAACATAGAGAAGCCCCGTCTCTACTAAAGATACAAAATTAGCGGGGCGTGGTGGCGCATGCCTGTAATCTCAGCTACTCTGGAGGCTGAGGCAGGAGAATTGCTTGAACCTGGGAGGCAGCGGTTGTGGTGAGCCAAGATTGCGCCATTGTACTCCAGCCTGGGCAACAAGAGCAAAACTTTGTCTCCAAAAAAAAAAAGTCTGGGCGCGGCGGCTCACACCTGTAATCCCAGCACTTTGGGAGGCCGAAGTGGGTGGATCATGAAGTCAGGAGATCGAGACCATCCTGGCCAACATGGTGAAACCCTGTCTCTACTACAAATACAAAAATTAGCCAGGCGTGGTGGCGGGCACCTGTAATCCCAGCTACTTGGGAAGCTGAGGCAGGAGAATCGCTTGAACCTGGGAGGTGGAGGTTGCAGTGAGCCGAGATCACGCCACTGCACTGCAGCCTAGGCAACAAGAGAGAGATTCCGTCTTGAAAAAAATAAATAAATATAATAAAAAGCAGCTCATACTAGGGAATTACTTGGTACAGCAACCTCATGCTGTTATAGATTAAAAGCCTGGTCAGCTATTCTGCTAGACAGTCAAATATTGTCTGCAGGGCTGGACAGCATATTGCTATTGAAAATAGCTACTAGGAGACCTTGCGCAATCTGTGAAACATTGTTAGGCTCGTACTATGTAAAAATCAGGAAAATTTGGGAACATACTGATATAACAAAAGATGGGTTGTCAAACCCTCACTTCACCAGAAAGCTAAATTAACCAGATAAGTCTTTCTGAAAGTTTTAGTGTCTTAGTTTGTTACGGTGCTATACCAGAATACCTTAGACTGGGTAACCTATAAATAATCGGAATTTATTTCTCACAGTTCTGGAGGCTGGCAAGTGCAAGATCCAGGTGCTGCTACGTTCAGTGTCTGGCACGGGCGGCTTTCTGGTCCAAGATGGTGCCTTTTTTCGGCATCTTCCGTAGGAAATGAACACTGTCCTTATGATAGAAGGGTTGGAAGGACCAGCCTTTTTGTTTGTTTGTTTGTTTTTTGATACAGCAGGGTCTTGCTCTGTTGCCCAGGCTGGAGTGCAGTGGTATGGAGTGCAATGGCGTGATTAATGTTCACTGTAGCCTCAACCTCCCGGGCTCCAGCGACCCTCCCACCTCAGCCTCTTGGATAGCTGGTACCACAGGCACGAGCTACCATGCCTGGCTAATTTTTTTATTTTCTGTAGAGATGGGGTTTCGCCATGTTGCCCAGGCTGGTCTTGAATTCTTGACCTCAAGCAGTCCACCTGTTTCCACCTCCCAAATGCTGAGATTACAGGCATGAGTCACTGTGTCTGACCTGCAGCCTCTTTTATGAGTGCATTAATCCCCTTCATGAGGGATGTTCTCTCATTACTTACTCACCTGCTAAAGACCCCACCTCTTAATACTACATCAGTGATGAGTTCAATGTATGAGTTGGGTGGGAGGAGGCACATTCAGACCATGGCATCTAGTCATTCTGGTTTTATTAAAATTTATTAGACTTGAGGCATGAAAAAGAGCATGCTAGATCGGACTTCAGCATCGATGAGCTGCCTTAGTAATACTGTAACAAAAAGCACTAAATATGCCAGTGGTGTGAGAGAATATTTTTACGGAAAATTTTATACTTACAGAAAATTTGGAAAGACTGGTACATTGATACCTGTGTGTTCACCACCTTGATGTAACGGATAACATGCTATTTGCTTTATATGTATTTCATTGCTAGGAATCATTTGAAAGCAGTCAATATGATACTTCATTCTGAAATTCTGAAATAAGTATGCATTTTGAAAATATAGTTTCCTCTATAACGGGCACTATAGCACTTAGGAACATGGACAAGTATTTCATGCTATTGAATATCCGGTTCATATTGAAGTTTTCCTTGGGGAGAGTTCTGGATCAAAGGTCAGTCCCAGTAGTGGTGTAGTTTAGTTGTCCTTGGGTCTAACCTAACAATTGCGGTGAAAAATATTAAGGAAATATCTGTGGTTACAGCTCTCGGGTTTCTGGAACAATCTTTGACTCGATAAAAGCCCCTGTTTGCAGCTCCTGAATGGAAGATGGGACTAGAGAGACGGCAGGTCCTGGGTAGATTCTGATCAGCATTTGTACTTACACCTGGCTCTCCTGTCTTCGCCAGTGGAAGAGCAGTTTGGAACTAAGCAAGGAGAATGCACATTCGATGACAGCAGAGTGGGGGCAGATCTGCTCGAGTCCATCAGACGTGGAGCAGGTTCAAAGCAGCCGTGTGAGCCTCCCTTCCATTGTGTGGCGCTGCATACTTACCAGCAAATGTTTAGTGAGCCCCCATTTTGAGTCGCGTGAATGTGGAGCTACAAGGAGAAACAAGAATGCCTGAAATTAAATAATTTGAGGAGAGAGCTTCATGGGATAGGGGTGAGGGAAACAGCCTAGGAGACAACGGGGAATTGTGAAAGATTGACAAGCCAAAGCTGTCAGACAACTTCCTTTGAGATGGGCACATTCCATACCTGAACTGTCCAGTGTACTAGCCACTGACTGCATGGAGCTTCTGCATATGGTAGGCTAATGACTTAGGAGCTGGATTTTAAGTTTAAATTTTATTTTTCAGATAGTCTTCCTCTGTCAACCAGGATGGAGTGCAGTGGCACAATCCCGGCTCACTGCAACCTCCACCTCCAAGGTTCAAACGATCCTCCTGCCTTAGCCTCCTGAGTAGCTGGGATTATAGGCACCCGCTACCACACTCAGCTAATTTTTGTATTTTTTTTTAGTAGAGACAGGGTTTCACCATGTTAGCCAGGCTGGTCTTGAACTCCTCACCTCAGGTGATCTGCCTGCCTTGGCCTCCCAAAGTACTGGGATTATAGGTGTGAGGCACCACGCCCAGCCATAAGTTTAAAATTCTCATAGTCACATGTGGTGGGTGGCTAATGTATTGGACAGTGCAGCTCTTAGCTACCAGCAATGCCCTGCAGGGCACTGAGATCGAAATTAATTTCAGCAAGATGAACAATGCCCACAAGAGCAGCAGCGGCAACAGGAACGTTATCGGATTTAATAACAATTGAGATCCCCCAAATTCTGAGATCTAAAGATGCATGTTACTTTCACTGAATCCTGTGTTTCTATGTACCCTAAATTCTGGTTTTAGAAGTCTGCCTCTTTGGCCAAGGCGGCTCCGGACGAGGCCCCCAACAACAGCGCCCTGAGGTGGCAGCGGTGGTGCCTGCGGGGACCACTAGCAGCCGCGGGCTGAGGGGAGGTCGGGACCCAGGCAGGGCCACTGTATCCCACCAGAGGAAGGCCAAGTATCCCTGTGGGGGAGGAGCAGTCCCCACGCCAGGCCTCCCAATGTCCCCAGGTCTCAAAATCCCCATCTCCCGTTCAGGGCAAGAAGAGTCCGCAACTCCTATGCCAACAACTGATAAAGATCCCAAAGAAGAAAAAGAGGCAGATGATTGTGCCCTGTTTCAGGAAGTTTACATTGCTGCATCCAGACCTAGCCGGGGGTGGCGCAGTAGGAGCAGGACATGTGTTTCTCCTCATGTGATACAGAGAACACCTGAAGCTCTCAGTGCAAGACCGGTTCATTGTAGCTCATCTGCAAATCAGAACCAAATACAGACCAACTCGATTATGATGTTCGAGAAGCATCAGTCTCCAGGTGGCATTAGCAAGGAGGAAGAAGAGGAGACATTAATCAGTGAGGAGGAGATGCCATTCGAAGATGACCCAAGAGATGAGACCTACAAGCCCCTCTTAGAAAGGGAGACCCCAGGCCGGGCGCGGTGGCTCACGCCTGTAATCCCAGCACTTTAGGAGGCCGAGGCGGGCGGATCACAAGGTCAGGAGATCGAGACCACGGTGAAACCCCGTCTCTACTAAAAATACAAAAAAATTAGCCGGGCGCGGTTGTGGGCGCCTGTAGTCCCAGCTACTCGGGAGGCTGAGGCAGGAGAATGGCGTGAACCCGGGAGGCGGAGCTTGCAGTGAGCCGAGATCGCGCCACTGCACTCCAGCCTGGGCGACAGAGCGAGACTCCATCTCAAAAAAAAAAAAAAAAAAAAAAAAAAAAGGAGACCCCAAAGCCACGCGAAAATCAGGGAAGGTGAAAGGAGAGAAGGAGAAGAAGGAAATCAAAGTGGAAGTAGAGGTAGAGGTAAAAGAAGAGGCGAATGAAATTAGGGAGGATGAGGAACCTCCGAGGAAGAGAGAAGATGGAAAGATGGCAAAAGTCTACATTTACCCAGAAGGAGAAAAAAAGCCTCCAACCCAATATGTCCATTGTGAG